GTGTGCTTTGTGTTCGTAAAGCATGACGGTACTATATATACTACAGGTCTGTGAACTAGCAGCTCGCCATGAACCAAACTGTCCAGTCTGCACCTTCTTCCTGTGTTTACTTTTGTTGCGCCCGCCCCCCACACACTTGGCCAATGAATGACGTGGTTTGTTGTGACGCACATAAACCAAAAACTGTAAGTTTACAAACGCACCAGCTGATTCGGTCCAGAGGAAACCGGCTATAGATGTGAAAACACCCACCTGATCTACACAGTACCCGGCACAATAAAAACGATAAATCCTTTATTTATTTATTTATTTATTTAAAATGTGTGCCTGCCTGTAACAAATCAAGGCAGCAGCATTAAAAACACGAACTTCTTTAACTCAAATTAGTCGAGTGCCAGAAAATATCGCAAACCAATAAACCAGTAAAAGTGTCTTTAGATAAGGTAACACGTAACCACACCTGGTGACCTGTGAGTGACCTGAGAGTCACGGTTTCAGTTTTCTGGACGTTTGTGACGAAATGAAAGTGAAAGTAAAGTTTAGCCTGAAGTCTGGACTCGTTCGGCTGTCAGTGCGTGTCTGTGTGTGTGTGAAGCAAGATGGAGGGATCCGAGTGTGCTGTGACCGTGGAGGGGGACTGGACTCCGGCTCAGACCAAAGCCCTGAAGAACAAACTGCACATTTACTTCCAGAGCAAGAAGAAGTCGAGCGGAGGAGACTGCCGGGTGGAGGCGGAGGAAGGAGCGACGAGGGCGGCCGTTTACTTCAGCTCACCGGAGGGTGAGTCCGCTTCATCATGGTTCAGATAGTAAAATAAATAATTTAATAATTAAAAACACGAACAGACGGAGACCTGTGAGTGTAACGATGGAACAAACAGAGTTTCACTGTGACACAGAATGAAACACATAATTCTTCAAACAGCTGATCATAAAACGTGTGTGTGTGTGTGTGTGTGTGTGTGCGTGCGTGCTGTGACGTCAGTGAGAGAGCGAGTCCTCGCGAGGAAGAATCACGAGATCATCCTGGACAGTAAAACCATCCAGTTGCGGCTGAGCTCAGATACAGTAAGTCCAGTTTTAGATGTTTCATGTGGATTTTTTCCTCACTCAGAGTTTCCTGTTTGCTGCTGATGTCACTGCTCTGGGTTCAGCTCTTTGAATAAACACCTTTAGCTTTTTATGAGTCCATAAACTCTCACTGAGCGCCTCCCTTTACACAAATATCACAGTTAGTTCTTTAAAAACAGAAAACGCTGAATAACTGTGACGTATGAACCAACAGTCTAAACAGAAACTCCTCAGTGTTTGAATCATATTCATAAACATGCTGCTGTGACCAGGGTGACTCCAGCCTGCGTGGCAGCTTTTGGAGGCGTTTTGGATATAAACCAGTCCCTGGGTGTGTGAAGCAGCAGGAACAGGTTGGACTTTGAGTCTCAGCTGATATTTTCATGTTTGCCTGTGCACTGTAATCATGCCAACAATAACCAGCCTGACTATCATGATGATGTCACATGGTCTTCAGGTTTCACCCATGAGGACAGGAAGTGTTCACCCTCTTCCTGATTTCACACTTTTGTCACACTTAAATGTTTCCGATCAGCAAACAAATGTAACAAAGTTGACACAAGTAAACACAACATGCAGTTTCCAAACGAAGGAGGTGAAAACCACTGAGGCTGAACAGGTTGTTGCAGGTCGTGATGGCGGCGGTGAGTGCAGCTCGCCGTCTGCCAGGCCTGCTTGGATCAGTGTTTATTCAGTGTTTGTTGCCATGGTGTTTCTGCTCTCCTGGTGTATGATATCTATGCTCTCTTTGATATCTGATCACCCACAAAACTTGCATAGAGCGCGATCTGGATAACCTGAAGCCTTCTACCGTTCCTGATTATTTGGGTGCATTTTTATGACGGTGCGATTGCTGGAGCTTGTGTGGAACCAGCTTTTCTTTCTGTTCGTCCAGGCCTACCTAACTCATCAGTGCTGTTTAGAGTAGT